ATGGAGTCTGAGAAAGAGGGTGGATGCTGTGCAGGTGGTAAAGGGAGCAACACACTGTCCTCTGCCTTCTTGATGCTCAGCAAAGTGTTTGGGTCACCTTGCTGCACCCCAAACATCATGTCTGGAACAGCTTCTCTTCCTGAGCCGCCAGTAGAGCCTGAAGAGCAGGATCAGGACTCCATCAACAACCCAGAACTGCCACTGCAGCAAGGCTGAAAAGATCAGGGTCCCCCAGGCTAAGCCACTCTGCTCCTTTGCTTTCTGCTCCATCTTCTGCAGCAGCCGAGTCGCCTCCTGGTCTGGCATCTCCTCGTACTTCTGCCAGCACACACGTGTCTCCTCGCTCAGCCCATCACCCACCATCTGCGGGTGCTGCATGAGGCTTAGCACAAGCAGCGCAAGGAGCTTTATGGCATTCATGGCCTGTAGGAAACAGAGAGCAGGGCTTCAGTGGGGCTGGGAGGGAGGGAAGGATTGTGGGCACTGATATTGGAGTGAGCGCGGCCAGGAGGGGCAGGGACCTGGGAGGAGAGGGGCCCAGGCAGCTGGGAGGCAGCAAGACCTGTGCCCAGCCCTGGCAGGGGCAGCACCACGTCTTGCCCAAGGTGCTTTTGCTAACAGCTGGGCTCTTGGTGGAGGGTGAGAACCCATCCACTCTGGGGCCACGTTTCTGCCTCCGTCCTGGTCCAGCCCAGCCTCCCCTGGTCTGCACACTCACCGCTGGCCCAGGCTGCAGTGGGCAGAGCTGCCTGTTGGGCCCTTCCCAGCTGCTGCTGCTGTGATGTCACAGGCAGCACAGCATGTTCAGCAGCCACGGAAAGGGAACAAAAGCCCCAACAGTCCCAAAGTACAGACCCCCCTAACAAAGTACAGATCTGCTCCCCATTTCCCCCAGTTCACAGGTACCTTTCCAGAGTTGGAGGGTGAGAAGGAGCAGAAAAAAAACTGATGCTCCCATCTGTACACCTCCAAATTCACAGCAGATAGCTTGAAGATCTCCCACCAAGGCAGTTCTATGCTGTCCTCCTTTAGTAAGCAGGATTTCCCACTTCCACTTCCAGCACCTCTCTGGAACAAAACTTTCCAATGTTTCTTACTTGAAAGCAGCTAGAAGGTTTTCTTTTAACTTTTGCATAAAACAGAAAATAAAATGGAATGAAATTATTGAACATATTTGAAAGAACATGTCTCTACTAAGAGATTTATCTTGAATCTCATAATAAGTTACTGCAAAATCTCCCCTCTTCAGCAGCAAATATGAGTTAAGGACTCATGCCTTGCTTGCAGAATTCTATGTGAGGCCTTTGTAAGTCATTACTGAACAGCCTGAATTTTCCCAAAAGTCGTAAGGATAAAACCCAAACTCCTATGTTTTCATGAAGAGGGGATCATACAAAGTTCTTTTGCTCCTACACCGTACCAGCACTGTGCCCACTCAGTGTAAAAACAAACTTTTCACCAGGGAAAACTTATGCTTCCTTCCAGTGCAAAGACAGCAAAAAACTCTCTTCAAAGTACAGAAAAGCACACTGCAACAAGTTAGCTCTGCCAGTGCTAATATCCTAATTCTCCTAGTAACAGAAGGGTGAGATAAGACCTATCACTGACTCACACAGAACACAAACAAAAGCTCTGGATTTTCTATAGAGAGGGGGATCATGCCTATAATATTCTCTAAATAAACTGCTGGAAGGCGTGACACCACATGGGAAAAGACCTGGACTCTAATTACAACGATAAATTCTCACTCAAGGAATGAGAAGTGACTAGACCAGGCAGAGAATCAAATTAGACTCTTACTACAGAGTTGCCAGGCTGTGTAAATTGCACTGGATTTTAGGAAGGCTGCATCATCCAGTCGTCATTTTTTTCCTCTCTCTTCTGAGACTTTTTACTGTATCTCATTTGTTTAGACTTCCTTGTATGCTTTTTCTTGCTTAGAAATTGATCCTTGATGCACTACTATAAGCAAAAATTCTTACAAAAAAAAATTATTGCATTTAGGAACTTATTATAGGACTCACATATAGGATCACTGGACAAGAATAAAAGTCGCCAAAAACTATCATGGCTAAGCAGTAAGCTATTGTTCAGGTTGGAAATGCACACACAAACGTGGCTTGCACTGGGCAGGAAATCAGCAGACAGAACGTGGCTCAGAGCCTACCTCCCGAAAAGGTTCAGATGAAGAAAGAACTGTCCCAAGAGGGAAAGGCTGTAGCTTGACATTTAAATTGACCCCAACATGGTAACACAGGTAATCTCACTAGGAATTCACTTAGAATAGCATCTATGGCAAAGATTGTTGTTTGACATTAATATTAAAAGTCACAAGTTCAACGTTTCATTGGTTCTAGTTATAGAAGGAGCATATTTGTTTTTAGTTTCACATTTCCAGTACAATTTTAGCAGCCCATTAGGCCTTTGTGCAGCAAGCACCAACACCAGAACACCTCTTCAGTGAAGAACCTTCCTTACAAACCCAGGGGAGTGCAGAGTCCCTGAGACCTCCTAGTTTCTAGGTCCCTGTCACTAAGATCTTTTCTGGGGGATAAAATTAAGTTTATATTCCCCATCCCTCAAGGTGCTGAGCACTCAGAACCTTGCAGGAACAAGCAGATGAAACAAAAGGAATGGTTCATATAGGGCAACATGAATGCCACAGGCATATTTTGAATATTTGCTGAGAGTTTATTTGTCTGTCCAGTCATAAATATTCGCATCTCAGGACACGCAGTCAAACGACCATTGCTCCTGACACACGGGAGCCAGGAGGAGCATGTGGGGACAGGGTACGGATTCCCCTTTTGGCACCATTGCACAGAGAAATCGGCCTAAGTTGGCACTGGAGCCACAGCTCCAGGCAGAAATACACAACCAACACACTGGAAAAATATGGGTGTAGATCTAAGTCTGGAGCCGTTCCAAGCCCAGCTCCTGTTCAAGGCAGGATAATCTGTCATCAAAGAGCAGCAGTAACATGATAGAAAAGTTCAGCTGTTGTCTCTTCCCTTGATACCTGCATCAGGCAAGAGCTTCACCTGGTTTCAGGCTCTGGCTCCTTTTGCACCAGTCTGCCACAGACACAGGGCTTTAGTCTTTAGCTTGGCACCTGCACTATCAAAAAGAGTTTGAAAACCCAGTATTTACATGAACATTTTTTTTTTCACTCAGGCAGTCTTAATGACCTGCTCTACAGCTTTGAATGACTCACGGCTTAAAATATAAGACATGTAAATTTAATGTCATCAGGAAGCAGCGACTGTTCAGAACACAGCACAGTGCAATTTGCGTGCTCAGGGGTCCTCACTGAAACCTCTGCCTAAGTACTCAGTGCTAGTAACAGAGTTAGTAATAGCTATGCACAGCTTGACACGTCACTCAAATACATAGAAGAGACAGTGGAATCAAGGTGAAAGAGTGGAACTGAAATGAAGAAATACTTCACAGTCTAAAAACTACAAATGGCAATAAAAATGACTCCTCAAACAAGCATAAACATTAATTATATCAGAGGATGCCATGAACACCAAGATACACATTTTTTTTGTTAAATCATGTCACATTAGTCATTACAAATTAACACCACAGCTGAGCGCAAAGTCTGAGTGACAATCATATTTGTTCTAGAAATTCTGACATCCCATATTATGCAAATATTAATGGACCTGAGCATCCAGTCCAACCCCACTCACTTCCCAAGACATTATACTCCATTCAAGTATTCCACATCACAAGGGTTTGTGGTAATATTCTTTGTCTGGAGAACAGTTGTCCATCCTTTTAAAGGTGATGTCATGTCTGTCCTGTTGCTGTTTTAAGTGAAGTAAGAAAGACTGCCAGGAGCAGGACAACTTGCTGAAGAAAAGGCTTGCTTCTAAGCTGTTTTTCCACTTAATTGATGGAAAATTCACATGCTAAAACCAAAGGGCATTCCTAGAACGCTTACTGCTTCAGTAAGCAGTCATGCAGTCATGCAGTCCTGCCTACACCTTTTCCACAGCATGCAGACTTTTTACAAGATTTTTGTTACTTCTAGTTGTTTGCCATGGAGGAGGAAAGATACTTCACAGGCTTTGTTTTTTAAACTTCTCCCGGAAGCCATATAACAGAACTTATTTTTTATAACACAGTTATTTAAACAACCAAGTATTATTGTTAACAAAGTTTACTGTAACAAAAAATTGGGATGAAAAAGTAAAAAAGGGAAAAGGCTGGTGATACCTACCTTTATGTAAATCAGTACATGCAACACCTTTTGTGATACCTTGCATAGTACCAGGCACGCTATCTCAAGTACAGCCTTAGCAGGCAGTGTAAGAAAAGAGCTGAACACCATCAAAAAATTAAACACACTAAGAAACTGAAAACCTTAGCAAACAAATTAAGGAGAGAACCTGATAACTGTGTATCAAAGAAAGGTACAGAGCAGTTTGGCAGCTCCTGTTCTCCCCAGCACAGGAAGCTACAGAGCATTCAGCAGCTTTCAGAAATAAGAACAAATTATATTTTTCTTCACAGGCCATTAGACTGCAAACATTTTTCATTAGAAGAAATAATTCATTCTAAGGCCAACAATAAGCACTTATTCTGATTAGCAAAAATACCAAAGGCTTCCACATGTCAAACTCATCTCTAAATGTGTAAGCTGGAGATGCAACTCCAGGTAGAACAACCTGCACACTAGGGATTTCTCATATTTCATCCCAGGCCATCTGATACCAGTTGCTCTTAAAGGAGACAGGCTAGCAGAGCAGGTGGATGAGCAACGCCGCTCAATGATCTAGCTGCAGTTTGACATTGATGAAGCAGCAGACAGACCCCTCATGTGCTGCTTTTCTCAAGGGCTGCATTCCTCTTGCAGAACCAATCCATCCCATCTGCACCGCTGGAGATGCCAGAGTCATGGTTGCAAAAGCACCTTCCACTCCTTTTCCAGGAACTTAAACTTTCAAAATACATGTTTGGAAGGCTGAAACATGTTGGGCTTGCTCTCCAAGAGCAAATTATGCTTTTGTGTAAACAAAGTATTTTTGGCAATTAGAAATAAGTTTGGAAGGGGTAAAGGAGAGAGCTTGGAAATTCAAATGGCTTTTTATTTTTAAATAAAAATAGAAGGCACTTAGAAATACAGCCATATCACAAGAAATGGCCAAACTCCAACACCGGGATAGAGTCACGGCCCCAGTCTTTCAGAAGCTATGCACATGCTCAGCAAGCTGGATGAAGACATCCAGCACACATACTAGTGGTTTCAGTTCTACTTTTATTTCTGGCTTCCCCTAAGCTCTACTTTGGATAATGAAGGCAGTGTATTCAGCCATCAAAAAGACAAAAGCAGAAATAATGCCTTAGCTATAGTTGATAGCTACACATTTTATTCTTTTTGCTTCAGTGTTAGCTCATCAGGTAATTTTTACTAAAATTTTGTGTTCAGAAAAGCTGGAATTTACAGCCTGTAGAGTTTTTTGAAGCATTGTACCTAGAGAGGTTACTAACAAAATACAGTTTTTCCTAAATGATGTTTTAACATGAAAATAATGTTCGTTTTATAGCGTATTTTCAAACCATTTATGAGAGGAATAACGTTTCCTACAGCTAGCAGATTACCAAGCTGGTTATCACTAACTCTTCCTCATGCTTGAGGATTCTTGTGCCAGTGAACGCTTCACTCAAAAACCCCACAAGGCCGCAGTGTCTCACAAGCAAACTTTCTACTCGTGCTGATAAACACAAGAAATGTTATTATACTTGCTAGGCAAACTAAACTCCCTTCTAACACTCCTGATCTTTTTAAAACTGTCACTTTTAACATAACATGGTTAAGGGTGTAGTTGGAAATGTGTATTTGCTGATGCCACTAGCACAGTATTCTCTTAGCATCTAAAAAAATCAAATACAACTCAAGTATGCAGCTTTAAGAAAACAGAAACCAGAAAATCAAAAAGGTGAAGAAGTGCATGAAAAACAAGATTAACAACTCATTCTCCTTTTCCAAATATTTTAAAACCATTTCTGAAATACTTTCAGGAGTTCCACCATCTCCTCTATTTATCTTCTGTAGAAATCTGCAAATACTAAAATATTGTGAATGATTGATATTCCAAATTAGGCAGCTCCATCACTTTTACTAAGGACTTTCAGAGGAAAATAAGAAAAAATTCTGGGAAATATTAGGCATTTTATAGTTATCCAAGTTGTAAAGGAAAGGACATCAACAGGCCTGCAGGTGGCAATCAGTAAGAATTCAGGATTGAAGCATAAATTGAAGAAGCTCCTATAATGTGATTATTTGAATGTTCACTGCTCTTGTAATAATCTCTTTTACATGGCACTAATCATGGAAGAATTTGGTTGCTACACTTCAGTAAGATGCCTTTGGATTTTACATGAAAAGGCATAATCAATAGCTTGCAAGAAAACCCAAAATGTTCTTGAGACTTCAAATTCTAGTTATTTACAATGGTAGTAACAATACTTTGCAGATTCCTGCATTTGAATATAACAATGTCAGCTTCAGTAAAGGCATGCAAGCCTGCTAGAAATGTGCTTCTTATTAATTCTAGGAACTGATAAATAAAGATACATCAATAAATCATTACCCACCCTACCTTTAAAATTCCCAACACAACTGTACCAACAAAACCTGTTCACTAAATCTCAGCATGAAATGTTTTCTGCAGCAAATCTTAAATTTCCCATTAGACAGGCATCAAATGTTGAAGGAGTTTTGGGAAGAGTTCAGTGCCTGAAATGGCCACAGATCATCTTTGGACAGTTCAGGATTTTATTTAAACACACAGGAAAGCATGCCCCTTATCTCTCCTTCAAAATATTACTCAGTGGGCAAAAAGGTTGTTGACCTTCATAGTGCATCCTTCAGTAGGGATAATCCTCTCGTGTATCTTCTGGTACAGTGGTGTGATCCAAACCATCCTAAGTAAAACTGTCCTTTAGGTACTCCTGCCATGCCCACAGATACTCTTTTCAAAACACTAAATCCTCAGATATTTAAATTTCAGTATGCTTCTATGAGACTGTCTTTTTAAAATTTAAACTAAAGATCAGTCAGAATAGAGATGTGCTCTATTATTAGTAAAAAAAATAAATAGATTCTCTGTGCTGTGTAATAATTTTACTGAACAAATAGCTCTCAAGAGGTACTTTTCATAATTTTTATATACAAAAAACACAGAAGAATAAAGCTTTAAGTAATGGTGTTACAGAATACGTCGCAATTAATCATGGCATAGTAGGTTCCCAGATACTCAATACCAAGCTCACACGTCAGAAGCATCTACCACCTAGCATTTAAAATTCTAACATGCTCTTTTCATCTTTGAAATTACAAATTATTTTTAAGATGCCTCGCTCTTCAGCAGCACTTAGCTTTCACCCAAAGCAAATTAGTCTACAAATGTACTGAATCCTGGAGGTCTGATTTAGGGACAACATTCAGCATCACCTCAGACATTTATTACATGATAAATTAATTTGCTAGATGAAAAGCTTCTTCTAAGTAATCTTGGGGTAACTTAAGCACATCTAGTGAAGGACAACACACAAATATAACTCATAAGGTATCTTATCCAAACAATGAGTTTGTGCTAACATGCAGAATAACACCACTTGCAGAATTTAATTTAAAGCAGTTGCAATCTATAGCAAGCACTTTTTTTCTTGACTATTTGATTCAGGGTGTATGGCAATTAAAACGCAATGTTAGCATTATCAAGGCTACTTTAAAATAAAATGTAATCGTACTCATAACCATTTACTTTTTTTGTACTTAGTTACTTCATTGTAGACACATTTCATTAAGCCAAACAAATAACAAAGTTCAGAATAGTAAGTATGAGTGAATGTGCTTTATGAATTTCTAATGTGCCTCTAAAAAAACCAAAACAAAATCATCTCAACTTAAAAACCTGATTTAAAAATCTGGGATGAATCTTATAAAAAGCCTAAACCATTGAGTTACCAAAACATTAGCAAGAATAAAGTTTCTGAAAGATGCAACAGTGTGATTACATTTTGAATTTTGACATTTTTAAGCCCTTACTTTCATTGATAAAAGGTAATTAATTTTTACACCCTCCCCCCCTTTTTTTTTCCCTTAGACCACAGCAGAAATCAAATACCAAGCATGAGTGATTACCCTTAGAGTAAATGGCAGACAACACGTTACAGAAAACCAGACCAAGACAACAGTAGTTTACAAAACAGAAAACAAGGTAACAGATATGCCTTCTTCAGGATAACATGTAAGAAAGATTTTAGGAACTTTATATCAACAGCTCATTTCAGACTATGCAGTGTTTTCTCCTCCCTTCCAGAGATCTATGAAATCAAGTGGTAAACGTGTTCTCTTCAATATTCAGTTCAGTAACAGTTTAGTTGAAAAATATTTTACTTGCATAAATATAAAAACACATGATAAAGCAAAATAGTTTTAATTAGTAAGCCAATCATAAATAAATTCAGCTAAAATTAACAGAAGACACCACTGTGTTCTTTCTACATGGATACTTTTTTTTTTAAAGCATGTTTTAAATGTTTTAATTGTCAGCTCCATCGTCTAGCCTGGGACAAAACAATTAATCATTGAGCACTTGACAATTCTGCACACTGAGCTAAATCTTTTTTTAGTTACATTTTTTACATTTTCTTTACAAACATAATACTTATGTACATTATATATTTCATTTCTACAATTGATGTACTTTACTGAAACTCTACAACTTTCACCGGGAATTTGCTGAAGTCTTTAGTAAATATGAATAATTCCTTTTAAAAAGAAATTCATATAAACAACCAACATACAGCACTGCCCTTTGACATCTCTTAAGAATTTAGATCTGGAAGGGCTACTATAATAAATGTAAGAAAAAAAGGCTTTACCTAATTGTACATTTTTTTTAAGAATATCATCCCACATAGCTACATAAATTCACCAGCTTGCAATAAACAGAGCACCATACTGCTGCACAACTGGAAACGTGTATAAACCAATTCAAGTTTACTAGTGAAACAGCTTCATCACTCCTAGGACTTTTAGACTGAAGTAAATCTGCAAAATTCTTTCAGAAATGTATACTTCTTTAGCTGTAAAGCTTCTGAAAAACAGTGCTGGTCACTGTATATTGTGAAGAACAAGTATCCACTTTTGTAACCTCCCATATGCTTCTCTTGGCCCGTGCTTCTTGCTGAAGTCGGGATTTTTCTTCTATTTCTTGTTCATTTACAAATCTGCTGTTGAATATTAAGTAAGAATTCATAATATGAGAAAGCTGCTTCTGTCCGATCCTCAATTAAATGCTGAAAAAAATCTGTTTTGGCAGGATTCTCATCTCTGAAAGAAGAGAGGAAGGTATTTTAGTTCAAGCATTATGCAAAAATTCCACTGTAAATTCAAGCAGAGGCATCAAGTCTAATTAATTACTTATTGTCCTTAGAAGTATCCAAAGATACTACAATTGCAAATTATCAAAAGTTTAGGAAAAAAACCCTAAAGTTTCTAATAAACTATCAAACAGCATATTTTAAAGAAGTATACAATGGCAGAAAAGTATGTGAAACAGCATTTAAAATACCTTGTAGAAGCACAAAAAAGGGAACAAAAATAATTTTAGTTTAGAAGCTAATATACATGCTGGTGGCAATGACTCTGAAAGGGTTAAATTAAATCCTGCTAAAGATTAAAAAACTGGAAAACTTACACCTTTGCTTACATGTAATCTCAACCCCCCCTCCAGTTTTTCTAATATTTGGCAATAGAACAGAGAAGGTAAACATGCCAAAGATCTAGTACCCAGAATTGCTGCCCCAATGAAAAGTTGCTGGGACACAGATACAGTGTGCAGTAAAGCTCTGTTGTTTACTATGGCCTCCCAGCACTACCTGCACTAGGAGCAGCAGCCACAATGCCAACAGTTGAAAAGCTTTATATTTATATATTTAAATATTATTTATCCAAGTAAGAAAGTCATCATACTCTCTAAAACATTATCTCCCATCAGGCTCAGTAAACTAAATACTCTAGAGAAGACAAATGTAAACTGAAGTCGAAACATTTTAGGAAACAGCATTGTATCAATTGAAAAGAGGATGTAATTCAGTTTCTTCTGGGTCAGATATTTCCAGTTTTCATCAGTGTCAATTAGAAATTATAAATACAAGTTGCTAATAATTACTCAGTATCTAACAGAAATACTTACTTTATCACTTGAAGCACCGGACTTAAAGGTCTGCTGTCTCTAAGCCAAGATATAAAAGATCGTGTCCTTTCTGAAGAAAGTGCATCTACCTCAGGAAGCTGTGTCTGAAGGTAATTGGAAGAAGTAATTACCTTTTATTATCAAAACTCTTAAAAAAATTAGATCCTGATAGTAATAACATGACCCAAGCTAAAATTTCTATTAAGAAACTACCAACCATGGATTACACACAAATTTTTTCTTCAGCTTAAAATACAAAAATTCAGTAGTATCTGCTCTGTAGGAAGCCATACATCTTAACTGTCTTTTAAGTGCAAAAGGCTTTAGAAAGTAAGCTCACTTTGAAAGCAGTATTTTCAAAATGCTGCTTTTGCAGCTTTCTTGCCTTTATCTTCCCTGCCAATCAAGTTCCTACGTTCTGCATTTTATATCACTGCAAAGATGAAGAACATACGAAGAAGTGAAACCTGAATTACAAGCAAATTTCAATACAAAGATTATACTGGACTATTTGGCTGGGGAATGAGCTGAAAAAAACAGAATTAAAAAACCTGAGCCGTTCACCAAGATAAATATACCAAACTCTTCGGACGATAAAACCTTTTAAGACAATTAATATGACATACAATAGTTGATTACAGATTTAAAAGTAATTCCATTGCTATCTTTGTAATAAATGAATGAAAGGGAGAATTTTAAAGCAAAGACAACAACTTCTGCTATGTTAGGTTTTTCTTCTCATTTTCCTTATAATGCTATATAACCATTGAGTCCTTCCTTTATCCAAGCTCTTCCTGAAAACTCTGCAAACTAATACTTACTACCAACTGGTCAGAGGGGACAGTTTTAAATTGCTCATACAAGCAAAATACAAAATTCTAAACAAATAGTCCAATTTTACAGCAATCTTAAAAGTCACCACTCTGAAGCTGTTCTTAAAATTACTGCTTGTCACTTAGTTTCCCCCTTCATACTAACCAAAATTCTTAAGCAGGAAATACCTTCCTGTGTGTTTCTATAACGACAAATACATTTTTTGTACTATCTGGATATAACCATTCCAATCTGAACTTTCTAGAGTGTCTTAAAAGGGTCCATTCTTACTTGCCACTAGTTGGCATATTGGAATCACTACCCACTGAAGAGGGCTCTTCTCTTTAATTGCTGCTCTGTTTCACACACAAGACTATAGGTACAGGTTGTAACAAAAAACCCTCAACCAAAACACCAGGGGTCTTTCACATTCTAATAGCTGAGAGCAATTCTTTTTAACAATTACTCAAGGCTTGGAAGATGAGCAAAACTTAACTCTTACGCTTTACCTACAGGCCTAGGACATCATACCATAGACTTGTTATCTTATACCAGGTTTGGAGAACACAAGGCTTCTGAAAACCATGGTATCAATAAAATTACTCTAATCTTAACAATTAGCATGTCTGAAAAGATAAGTTTTGTATTAGTTCTACAAAATCACATCCTTACGAGTCCACATGTATTCCCATAAAAATAATAAAAACATTAATGTCAGAGAATAATTTTTGGCATTCCACAAATGTCAGAATTTACACTTCTACATTCTCCCCTTGTAAGCATCTGTCAACTTCTACCTGTCTCCTGAGAAGCTGGCAAAAGTTTAGAAGGTACCCAATTAATAAAACCCTAATTCATAATTACCTAATTAAAAACTGAAAATGCAGAAAAAAATACATTAAATATAGATTGTACATGTAAGCACTAGACAGCACAGCTCATAAAATGCTTACCATTTTCTGTGGTACTGAAGCATAGTTTGGGTATCCAAGGACATCTTTTATGAAGTTGTTATCACAGTTTTTTCCAATCCAAATATAAAAAATCTGCAAGAGATCAGAATCTGTTTTAGTAAAGGCCTTGCATATATTTTAAAGAAAGGGTTAAGCGGTGACGTAATTGGAACAGTACTACAGTAATACCTTTCATTACTTGAGAGCTCCTGTTGCAATTCATACATACATCTCTGTAGTTACTTGTACATCTACTTCTTAATACATTTATAGCATTTGAAGTAAGATCATTCAATGGCAAAAAAATGTAAAATACTGAAAGAGTGAGGATGCAGGACACATCTATATTGGAACAGTTAAGGCACTAACTTCCCATGTTACCTCCTAAAGTGAAAAATCTAACATTTTTAAGTCACACCACTGTCTCCAGTTACTGCACACTGACTTCCCAATCTCAAGTCATAGTAAAGCATCAATTACAAAAACACATCATAGCAATTATTTCACACATCTGGAGACAGAAACTAGTTTGACATTCACAGTCAGCCCTTGAACTCATCCAAGGGTCAAAGTGGAATACAAGTTACTGCCAGGTTACCTGGAATGCCAAATTCACTACCCTGTTATTGTTGAGTTGACTGCCTTTAGTAATTCAGCATACATCGCTCTATTTAAAAAAAAAAACAACTTACTGAACCACAATCCATAAGAAAAGCTCCTTCTCTTGTCAACTTCTCTGCAGATAACTTCTGAAGAGGTGGCTGAGGAACAACTCTGTCATTTACATGTATTGTACTCTGTAACAAAAAACAATACTCAGCAACACTAGAATATAAAGAAAATGCTATTTTTTTATCTTAACCAGGAAAAAAATACTGTTAATATCTAGCAAAAATGTTGTGTATGTAATACTTTTCATGCAATAGATAACAAACTTTGAAAAGAATCCTGGTGTTTACACTTAAAATTTTCTACCAACAACCTCCATAGATTTTTCCCTTGCATTCAACTTCCCTAGAAATGCTACAAGAGGAAAAAACATCAAATTCTACTCCCTCTAAGTGTTCACTATTTTACTGCATTCAAATAACAAAGTTCCTTGATTTAACATGTTGCCTGAATCGATCCATGGGTTTGTTCACAGAGTACTGTGACTGATCCAATTAAACAATCTGGCTGTTGGCAACGACATTATTAGAAAATACTTCCCTCCTTCTTCCCAGCAATATAACCAAACAAAAACTATAAAAAACTCCAACCCTGATTACAGCTGCTTCCCCTCCTTCAATAGAAAAATAAAGTGATAGAAAATATTATAGAACAAGCTTCATACATTACCTCATCAATCAACTTGTCTATTCTGTACAAGTTGGGATGTATCATTTTCATCAAATGAACAAGTGGCTGGCTCTTCATCTGGCACATCGCATATACGCGGTCATCCAAGCGTGTACTTGTGCCTGTTCTAAATGCTTTCTGTAAGTGAACAGGGAACTTTATTAATGTCTATAAATATCTGAAGGGTGGATGTCAAGAACGGGCCAGTACCTTTTCAGTGGTGCCCTGTAATAGAAAGTTCTACCTCAGCATGAGACAAAAATTCTTTACAGTGAGGGTGACAGAGCATCGGAACAGCCTGCCCAGAGAGGTTGTGGAGTCTCCTTCTCTGGAGACTTTCAACACCAGTCTGTGTGATCTGCCCTAGGTGTTCCTGCTGCAGCAGGGGGGTTGGACTCTATCTTCAGAGGTCCGTTCCAACCCCTATGATATAACGAATAGTGTTGTTTCTCAAATGAATCCTTTACTTTATGTCACATCTAAACAGTATTTCAGATTTTTTGAAGTGTCAAGCAATGATGGCAAGGGTTTTGTAAAGGAATGTATCTTACTGAGATACATTAGCATCTTAATCAAATACAACTTGAATACAATGCCTTTAATTCCCCTTCCCTACTTATTGGTAAAGGGAATAAAAAAATTTCCCACCTTTGTGTAAAATTTCTATGTGATTGGGCCAGCATTTCTCATTTTTATTCTTGATAAACGTTATTAGTCTGTGAAACTCACTGATGCAAGATATCATATGAAGATACGACCCTGGCAGACTTCAAAAAAGGTACTTCTGTGGATAATGTTAACTCTAATTTTATATTAGTAGGAATTAAATGTTATGCAAAAGCTTTGGAAAGGAAACACGTTTTTTTATAGCAGAAACTAGGCCCTCATAGGCAAAAGAAAAATATTTAAAATATTTCTTACTGGATATCCTTTAGAAGCGATCAGTAAACAATCACTATTAGAAGCAACACAATGGAGTAAGCACCATATTCTGATTCAATGGAGAATATTCTATTATCAAAACTCATATTCAGTTCTACAGCAAAGCTAAGTACATCAGTCCTCCTTGGCTGTCACAAGCATTTTGGTTTCTCTATATACCAGGCTTTTTTATTACTGTTAAAAAGATAGAAAAAACCTAAACAACTTCTCAGCCACTCCTAATTCTGTCATTTACATGGATCCTCTTGATAATAAATGGTCTGTTTTTTCAGCATCATTAATTGCATTACTTATGCAAATACCAAAGGACTCCTAATGAGTATACTAGAGACTGAAGCAGGCACTAAGCCAAAGCAAATAATTTATCATTATTTCATTTCTTACCAAACTTAAAGATTTCACAATAAGAAAACAAAGAACTGCCAGACATGAAAATCTTTTACCTATCAGCTTTATTGATAACTAAATCCTGCAGTAAGCTCTATTTTTAAGTATGATGTTTGGTAAAGATATTTTAAAAAAAATAATCAAAAAGTAGTAACTAGTTCTATGTGAACTTTAAACTACGTCAATTTACTTTCTATAATAGATTTAATTGTACCTCCATGGAAATTATTTTTCTTCTTGGTACTTTGAAGTACGAAATACGCACACTGAAAATATTTTACTTATCTTTTCTTCACAAAATAAAATGGAAGTAGTACTAATAAGTGGCTTCCAACAATCTTTATGGGCAACACCAATTAGCTGTGAAAATCTCAGAAATGCCAATTGGTAAAACATATATATTTTTATTCAGACAAAATTTAGAAAATTCAAAATAAACAAAAAACCTATTCAGGCATCAATCATCTAAAATAAGTTCACAGTTATCTTGTATGTGAAAGCCCAGTAAGATCCAAGAGGATAAGCCATATTTTTTGAATTTAGAAAAGTGCAGACGTTGTTTGATCTTGAGCTGAAGAATTCCTCAATAGAACAATGAATGAAATATTAATCCACTACATTACACATACCTGTTTGAGAAGGGCCAAAATATACAGCGGAAACAGCTTGAGGGAATTTGGTGCTATGAGCATGGACTGCTGGAGATTTGAGGCAGTTGACATGTATGCTGCCAAGGAGTCTACCACGGCATTGACTAAGGCATCTCTTGCATCCGCAAGACTAGATGAAACTGAGCGATCCACAGCTGTTGGGTTAGAAGGATACAAGGAATGAATAGATTTGGCCTCATTTATTCCCTTGAATTTTGAAAGTAACAGTTGTGCTTTTAGATGATACTTTAAGATCTAAAAAACCCCAAAAAGTTCAACCTGTGGTCCTAACTTTTTTTAGGAGCAAGAGTAAATAAGACAAATACCCACACAGAAACTTGCTTTCATGATGCTTAAAAAAAGGTAGCTGATGTCCACTCCCTAGTTCCTACTCTTAAAAAAAATTTGTTAAAACCTGTGGTATGTACTTGTGACTAAATACAAATCCTGTTTTAAACCTTAAACAAGTAACTTAGCTATTGCTGAAAATCTCTGCAGTCCTACCTCCAAGATAAAATTTGCAGCAACTATTTTTTATTTCCTCCCCCCCTGTTATTTCAGCGATGTAACTATGACTAGTGTCAATGAAGTTTCATGTTCTTCCACTGAGGAAGGGCTGCAAATCCTTTGGTTGCAGGAAGCCATCTGCTGGACTGAATACACATTTAAGACGAGATACAGAAGTACTATTTATTTCTTCTAACATATTTGACTATTAATATACAACATAGCATGTACTAAGATGCTGCATAGAGCCATATGTGCTCAATGGCACAGATCAGTCTATAAAACAGCTACATACGACCGCCAAGTACAAGGTAAGTGAAAATTCTAAATCCAGCAACAGGATAGAAGCACAGACAACTAATGCATATTGCAGATACACTGTTGTCAGAAGTTCCCTTCCAGTCTCCAGCAACTCACTAAACTGAATCACTTAATTGTAGAATGCTGAAATTTGAGACAACAACTGTGATGATGATACAAAAATGACGGTTTTCATTTAAGTGTGTCATGATTCTATCTCCTTTAATAAACTCGAGAGAACAATGTAAGAACACTCCTTTTAAAAGATGAAAGTCAACTAAGTATTCAGACTAAGGAATATTTCAGTTAATAGATTTGGTATAAATTTGATTTTGTAATCTTTTGTATTCTCAGGCTTTTGTGTGTTCCACTCAATCTTTTCCTACAATACTGAGGTTTCATTCAGTACTTAATTTAAAGGGGTGCTAAAATTAAGAACACACAAAGATGTATTGGAATCTTCCTGGTCTGTACTCACCCATGTTTGCTAAGAGGCATACAATGGCTTGTACATCTGCTCCTGCATATACATCAGTCAGTGAACTTACTACAGGCAAGCAAAGTGTGTGCACTCGAATTCGACGTTCACCTAAATAAAAATAAGCAGAAATAATTATGCAATATCTCCTGGTAGAAGTATACAAATTCAGTCATTACACCATATCTCCTCGCATTTAAGATGCACTCATACTGCAAAAAAACACCGGTCAGACAATGGCTGTAACAGGATCTCCTGCTCCTCTCTCTCAACCGGTTAAAAATCTGCAACGCTCTAAAGCTTTAAATTATGGATCGGCACAAACTAGCTTCTAACACAGTGAGTGTCTTGGACTTTCATCCCAAAATTTTGTGGCATCCTCCACAACAGAAAGCACTTGCTAGTCTTTATGCCCACCCAAGGTATTAGCAACTCACTCCAACCCCTGGCAGGTCTGTCATTTTGGAAAAAGTGCATGTCAAATGTGCATGTTTGTTATTTGCTTATAATAATGGTGCATGTGCCTTTTAAGTAAAGAAATCTTGCTCAATCAGCTCTATATAAGATGGATATAAATTACATTTTCCCATCAAAATTGAGTTTATAGAGATTTACATTATGTGATTAACTGCCACACAGGCTCACTAGGTTTGTCAAGATCCTCTTAGAGAACAACAAAAGGCTGTGAAACTAACTATACAAACATTGTGTTACAGAAACAAACAAAGGCTCAGCGGCCAATTAATTTGAATTTATTTACCTTTGCTGGAAGTATACAAAAGAGCTGTTTGAAAACAAACCAAAGATGTGTCAGTCAGACTTTCCTCAATGGACATTTGTACTGCAAATCCAGCATCAGGATTGACATTGGCAAGGGACAATAAATCAGTAGATCGTACAAAAAAGTTCCCATGAAAAGTGTGTATTGAAAGACCTTAGAAGCAGATTAAACAAATCAGAGTGAGGTTAAAACAGCATGAAAAACGCCTATCAATAATTAAAAGCCACAGTCCTCTAGCTACATGTAAAAAACCAGTAAAAATACTTATTCTATCACACAGAATCAATTATGTGAACCATTAGACATTTCAGCATCATCCTGTAGAGTTCCATGTTCAATTCTGAACACTCCAAACTGAATGATGCCCTTCCATTACAATGTCAGTTTATGTGAAGTGAGACGGTGCCATCTTCAGTAAACGCTCCCCTCCTCCAAAAAAGGCAATAGCTAACATAACTTGCATAAAGGAAACTATCTTCAGTGAAGGGGAAAAAAACTGAAATCTAGTGTTGCTAAAGACTGAGCACATCCAAAATTTAAACTAATGTGCTTACACCAAGTTTTCCATACGAATCAGTACTTAAAACATACCTTTTGTACATCTTATGCGCATAACCGCTTCAAATCCAATCTTTCTTGTAAGGTATCTTTTAAGGTCTTTTTGCAGCTTTTCAGCTTGAGCAGGATTATGGGTACGATGGAAAGATGGATAGTAATAGATGCATCCAGCAGAATACTTGGATATGCAAGCTGTGAATGAGAAGAAGATATGGTCAGGAGGTAAAAATGTAACACGAAGTCAGGATGCACAACTTGTGTCCAACTTCCTGCAAGACACATCTACGTTCACCTTTTTTTTTTATTTGACTCACATCAGCAAGACAACAAGAACTTGCCAAGACTCAGGCCACTGAAGACAGTGATGAGTCATCCCAACACACAATTATCCAGTTACACATTTTCCTCAATAAGCAACCTACTACCTTAGGCAGTTAAGACAGGAGTGCGTGCAGAAATACTTAAGAGTTAGGGGCAAAGTTAAGTGTATGCTTAGAGACAAATCTTGGTTTAATACTAAAATAAGAGACCTCCATTCCACCCCTATGATTAAACTTTAATTCCTTGCCATTTGTTTCCTGTCCTCGAGCAGGAAAGCACCCTCTTGTTTAAAACTCTAAAATCCCAGAATAATACCCGATAGCACCAATCCACCTGTTCTTTACTGCTACAAACTTGAAAGTCAACTCTTTTACAGCATTAGCTGCATTTACAAATGTGCAAGAAGATCTACATGATTTAAGCATTCCTGAAGAAGCTTGTGCTTATGAAGAAAGACAACAGTGTGGAAAGAGTGAATGCATACATTAGGTACTCCTTACCAAGTGAAGCTAGATCAGAATACTGTGAACTTAACAGAAATAAATCCACAGCAGTCTGCTGGCCTGAGCAGTCCAGTGCCAACTTCTTATAAAAATCTGTTGCTGGACCAAGATGTTGGACCACCTTTGGTGAATAAATTACACAGGAATGAGTTAAGACAATGATTGTGCTTTCTTAAGACTTCATGGAACAAAAGACATAGTATTCAGTAGCAAAGTGTCACAAGGAAGTTTCCTTTAAGCAATAACTGATTGACATTTCCACCTGCATAAATTATTTTTCTTATGCTCCATATTCTTTCAGCTTGCTTTTACAAGCAGTTATAATCCTACTTTCAAGGGAGTCTACATTTTCATAAAATAAATATTCATGTAACTATATAACACTTACTGGATGCTGTAAACCACAAGGCCATAAAAATAATAAGAAATAACGTTTTAGGTCTACAATTTAATATATCCATACTTTGGCTCAAAACCAAGGCTGATAGTAACTGAGTGATAGATTTGCAGCTGCTTCTGCTTGCCAAGAAAAGCTATGGACCAAAAGACAGCTTATGAAGTAATACCACACATACATGTATAAACTAGTTATTTTAAATGCACAAAAGCAGACACTGAATAATTAAGATGTAGTGAATTGCTATAAATAACCCACAGGAGATGACCTGCAGAACTACACAAGTCAGAAAGACAAGGCCAGTCCCTAATCTCATGAGATGAATATTAGAAATTTTTGTACCTTTGTGCTTGACCTTTGATTGGGATCTTCTCTGGAATGCAAAAGCCCTGCTCCCAGAGAGGGTAACTGAGTTTGAAACACAGATATCCGACCACCTGTTGGAGACATCAGTTTAAATGCAGCTTGAAGAGCAGGGCCCAATGCACTGTGTGTTTCTCTTGTATTGGTGAACATATCTGGTAACGTGTTCAACAGATCTTTTATCAGCTGCAGAACAGATTGAAAGGTGTTTGTGAGATTTTGCAAGCTTGAGATTTTCTGCTACTTCTAAAACACTGTATACAACCAATACCAAATATTTCAGCTTATTTCAACACATTGAGGAAAACCAATAATGTTTAAAACTATGATGCATCAAACAAACAACACGTAATACTTCTATAATTAAAAAGTAGCATAGAAATAACACATTATGAAGAAAGGCTTGAATTCAAAGTGTAAAAGGAACCTTCAGTTTGAATATTTAATTCTAAATTTAATGCTATATTTTGAACAATCATACCTCTTTGCTTTCATGAAGATTTACAAGTAAACTATCTGGTGTAGGTAAGAAAATATCTGTAGGGAGAAGAGAAAAATGCATTTTATTAAATAAAAATATAGCATTATAAGAGAACACAACATTTCACTGTCCACTGCTAAATTTAACATGAAATACAGTCTTCTTTTCTGCTACTGTATTAGAGAGAATAATACAGTTGATACAAAGCTTGTTTTACAAAAACAAAATTAGTATATTGGTATATTCCCTATACATTCAATAAAACAGACTTAATAGCAGAATACTTGAGATTCTCATCTTTCTTATGGGAATAGCAGCTTTTCAAAAATTTAGTTTCAATTTTTTTTTTACTTACCATCAATATCTGAGACAATCAGCATCTGAGGCTGAGATAAACCTTCTTGCAAGTTGTAAAACTGAACAGTGCTGTCAAATGTTATGAACCCTATTCTTGTCCTTGAGTCTCCAGGCAGCCTGAAGCATTAAAAAAATAGACTATTAAGCCCTAAATTTCTCTCTCAAGACACACACATACACACAACTCCTGCTAGCTGAGTAGCAACTCAGCTCATGTACACAGGGGTACGCAGAACAGAAGAAAGGAGATCTGAAACACGAATCCAAGTAATAAGTCTTCAATATTGTTGGAGAAGCTGTGATAATGATAGCTTACAAGAGTGCTACAGATAAGCACTCACTAATATATTGATGTTTTCTTCCATGAAAGAACTTAGGAAGTTCATTTAAACATTATACTGACACATGAAAGAATCTCTCAATTCTTAACTAGAAAATAGTATATTCTGCTCTTTTGTAATTAAAAAAACCCCTTTACTAATGTAGTTAAAGAGTACTTACAGCTCTAAACCAAACCCCAATGTTTCTACAATGCAACATACTTATTTCTTATGTGGACCATTGTCCTGTGTACAGCATTAAAATTGCAAAAAGAAAAACTAAACGTGATTTCTCAAATAAAACATAAAACATGATCAGGTGCTGCAAACCATGATGGTGAACAAAAGCATCAGATGCAAACATCTTTTTTACCTTCTGGATATATAAATTAATTGGAAGCAGGGCTTTTCCTATAGACTTTGAATTACATTTTATGAGTTTTCCTAAAACAATTTAGCATGTTTCCAAGACTCTGTTGACAAAATACCTTTGAAGATCTGAACAAGGAAAGACCATACCAATTAATGTAAGTGAAGAATTTTACTGTACACTTCAGTGTCTTTATCAGAAATGAAAATTGTTTTGTAAGAGAGACTTGTAGAAAACAATTCAGAGTGAGGCCTCTACATATTAGTTTTTAAAAGCCATTAACATAGTGGAGTTTACTAACCCCCCTCAAAAAGCACCCTCAACAATCCTATACAAGCCATTCCAATGCAAAAATTAAACCAGATAGAAAGCGATACAGGGAACTGTCATCTAAAACAAGCCAAACTGACAACACAATTCCCCTAGGCAGTCCCACACTAGTGGTAACAATATTCCAGTACACATCATCTCAGCCATTTCAGCACAAGAAGCAGTCAATTCAATCTCTGTAATTTACTTAATTATTTTGATCTTGGCAGGGGGTGAAAGCACAGTTTATAGATGTTTGTACAATCAACATGTTGTTAGAAGCCACAGTTGAATATTTGCAGATACGTACATTATTTGCAGATCCACCTTTTATCATATACAGGGAAGATCTCTCTCCTCATGCAAACTGCTTCCACAGCTTTTTATTGGGAGGGTTTTTTTTTTTTTTTTTCCTTGGCTGGTGCCTTGTTTTTTTGGTTGCTTTTTTCATTTTGCTTTTTAGACATGTAAGTTGTGTTTCAGAATCTAAGGCAATAAAACTCTCCTTCAGGTACAGGATGTTTAAATTCCATATGCAAGTTTTATGCAAAACTGCTGGTTAGTATTGTTCATAATAACATGTTAGCTCATTTGAAAAGGTCATTTATATTCTTACTTGTCTAGGTTTTCCAGCAATGACTGGCAGACTATTGTCAAATATCCAGCCTCCACTGCATTATGAGACACATCTAAAACAAATAAATATTCCTTGGCTGGTGCCTTGTTTTTTTGGTTGCTTTTTTCATTTTGCTTTTTAGACATGTAAGTTGTGTTTCAGAATCTAAGGCAATAAAACTCTCCTTCAGGTACAGGATGTTTAAATTCCATATGCAAGTTTTATGCAAAACTGCTGGTTAGTATTGTTCATAATAACATGTTAGCTCATTTGAAAAGGTCATTTATATTCTTACTTGTCTAGGTTTTCCAGCAATGACTGGCAGACTATTGTCAAATATCCAGCCTCCACTGCATTATGAGACACATCTAAAACAAATAAATATACCGCAGGCTGAGGAGGACGAAGCTACAAAGTAAAAAAAATAATAAGTTCAAAATCATATTTACATAAATGTTAAAAATGATTAGTCATTAGAAAGAGAAGCGGGAAAAGGGACTACTTAGAAAAATGCAGGGCATACATTATGCAATAAAATAAAACCGATTTACTGAGAGTCCTGTGGATAGACTTAACCACAGTTCCCAGTGGTTAGTAATTCCTGTTTCTAATAAACATACGATATCATGCTTCAGAACAGAAACTGGGTATTTTAGTCTCTCCTTCCACCAGTCAACTCAAACATGACTTTTTCATGCCAGATATGGAATTCACCCTTCAAAACACGATTGTTCTTTCAGTATGTGAACAGTGCAATCTATTAAACGGGGTTAAAATAGTCTACCTACATTCTTTTCCCAACCATACAAAAATGTGTATTTATTGTCAGAAGTCTTGACCACAGTGTTCCAATTCAAAGACAAGTGAACAACTGTTGTTAATAACGTCATTATGAATAAAGCTTTTTCTCAGGCCTTATTTCTTGGATACAAGATTACTGCCACAGCAAAGCTTGACTCCTAGTTAGAGGTTACCATTACTAACTAAAAATTTGAAACCACCTTAATTCTCTCATTATTCCATTACTGGTCTTTCAAAACTTCTTAAAAATGAGGGAGAAACCTAGAAACCACATTGCATCAGACACAAACCAGGCTAATGCCACATTAAGCAACACTGGATGGCTCCACACACTGCAATTGCCTTTAACTGACAAACTTCTAATATTTACATTTCCCAAAACTCAAAATAAACATGAATTTCAAGTGTTCTTTGGTGTTAAAAGGACCTGCACAGGAAAATTAATGCACACCACTGAAGCAATGTGCAACATTAATTTCAAGCATATTTATATTAACATGCAATTGCTGTTAAGTTACTATAAGAACATTTTTACCATATAGTCTGAGGAAGCAATGAATTCCACTGTAGAATTTTGGACCTCTGGCCGCTTGTGAGGCTCTCCGTAAGATCGAGTCAGAGGATTATACATAAATTCTTCAGGAACTATTAAAAAACAAAAATCCACAAATAAGTTTATATTATTTGTCAGCAAATAAAAGCCATTATGGCAGCTACAAACGAACTAATCCAGACATATTTCAGTTACCATAGAATAATAGAATCATAGAACTATTCAGGTTGGAAAAGACCCTTGGGATCACCAAATCCAACCATCATCACTACTCTACAAAGTTCTCTCCTAAACCACATCCACCAACACCACATCCAAACAACCCTTAAACACATGCAGGGATGGTGACTCAACCACCCCCTTGGGCAGCCTATTCCAGTGTCTAAACACTCTTCCTGTGAAAATTTTTTTCCTAATGTCCAGTCTAACCCTGCCCTGTTGCAGTTTGAAGCCATTCCCTCTTGTTCTGTCACTAATGACCTGTGAAAAGAGACCAGCACCAACCTCTCTACAATGACCTTTCAGGTAGCTGTAGAGAGTGATGAGGTCTCCCCTCAGCCTCCTCTTTCTCAAACTAAACATTCTCAGCTCCTTCAAGCATTTTTAATAAGATTTATTCTCTAGGCTCTTCACCAGCTTTATTGCCCTCCTCTGTACTTGCTCCAGCACCTCAGTATCTCTCTTGAATTGAGGTGCCCCAAACTGGACACAATACTCCAGGTGTGGCCTCCCTGGTGCTGAGTACAGGGGGACAACCACCTCTCTGCTTCTGCTGGTCACACTATTTCTAAGACAAGCCAGCATGCCATTGGGTTTTTTGGCCACCTGGGCACGCTGCTGGCTCATATTCAGCTTGTCAATTAGAACCCCTAGGTCCTTTTCTGCCTGACAGCTTCCCAGCCACACTTCCCCAAGCCTGGAGTGTTGCCTGGGGTTGTTGTGGAACAAGTGCAGGACCCAGCACTTGGCCTTGTTGAAGCCCCGACCATTAACATTAGCCCAATCTAATCTATCCAAGTCTCTCTTGGATAGAGAGCCTCCTTAACCTCATGCAGATCAATACTCCCGCCTAGCTTGGTGCCATCTGCAAACTTACTGATGATACACTCTATGTCCTTATCAAAATCATCAATGAAGATGTTAAACAGAAACAGTCCCAGCACTGAGCCCTGAGGAACACCACTTGTGACTGGCTGCCAGCTGGACTATGGAAAGCGGCTTCGTGATCACATCTGCCAACTCTTTCAGCACCCTTGGATGTAACCCATCCAGTCCCATAGACTTGTGTGCATCTAAGTAGTGTAGCAGGTCTCTGACCACATCCTCTTTAATCATGATGACCTCATTCTGCATCCCCTCCCTGCCTCCTAGCTCATGTGGCTGTGTCTCCATGGAACAGCTAGCTCCACTGCTGTGGAACTATCATTAACAACAGAAAAAAATTCACATTAAAGATACATTAAAAAAAGGAACACTTCAAATACACCAAACAATATTGAAATTAAATAACTGGAAACAAAAGGTTTATTAAAAACAGCAATAAAACCCCAACTTTAAAACACTAGCAAATGTAAAGGATTTCACAACAACAAGCTTCAATTTGTATTGTTTCTCACAGCCCCTGGCCTGGACTGCAGACAGTGTTAGCTGTCAGCACGTTTCCAATTGCACACCGCAACAGCAACCAATGGAGTAAGCTGATTACATTACACAAGTAATTGGAACAATATTCTTCCATTTTCTTCATCTCCCAGAAAATTGCAAAACACATTTTGCTTTAGAAAATGCACAGCACATCTGAGTTATGACTCAGAAATTTAAAAAAATATCTTAAGAACACTGCCATTATTTTAATTGAAAGTATCCCATGGACTGATATGATGCAAATACTTGAAAGAGATTCTATAAATGCAAGCAACTCCTGCTACAAAAACTCACCATCATTAACTCTATAGCACAGGTTGCATTTCCACCTCCTTTGATCAATGAAAGAAACAAAAGGGTTGATATACGTCCTGCAGGATCTGCATCTCACTATTGTGCTTGATGTTATTACTGGTAATTGCTAAAAAGAAACAATGGAAAGCTGTAACCAAGACACGCAATACACTTCATGGAAAACATTAACTGTGCAGTAGAGTGCATAAAAGCTTCATAAGACTGGACATTCTATCATTTTTTCTTTTCTTTTTAGACGCCTATTAAAAATACCCCCTTTAAAAACAGGAGAAATAGCATTTAATTGTCTTTAACCAGTCTCTCAAATGAAAGATCGAATAATTTTTTTCATGAAATTACTTTAAATTACACAGTTAAAGTAACACAGCTACAATGGTAAGAGGAATTATGAAAGACAGGACAATGTTTGGGTGACTAAATATGACAGGCACCAAATCTTACACAAAGAATATAGAAAAATACCAGAGTTAATAATCTTTCTACATAAATACAGATAACAAGGAAAAAAAAAATTGAAGGACTTATCCAAAGCTTTTCCCTTATGAATTTAAATGAAGCAATAACTTGGAGGCTTTTATCCTCTCCTCTCTAGGTTTAAAACTTATTTTGCTACTTCTGTCAAATTTAAGACTTACAGTTCATTAAATTTTATTGCTTGAACGAAAATAACAAATGCCTATATTAAATAAAAGTACTAAAATAAAACAGTCAGCTACTTTACCGTTAGGTCTCTGAAGGGATGTAGCAACAAACCCAATGGAAGCTTAGCTTTGTTTAACAAAGCCTGTGTCTGTGGAATATTTGTCAATGTGCAGCGAAATGAGCTGAAAAGAAATAAATACACAATGTTGAAAGGGAAATCTAGAAGATGTTAAAAACACTGTGTTAACGTATGATTTTAAGAAATTTTGAAATTTAAGATAATCCTATGTATCACAAAGCTGATTTAATAAACAAAATTAATTAATCAAAGAGATTAATAAAGCCTACTAAAGAAAAAAAATACTCTCGTGCTCCCCAATTTACTAGTTCAGCCATGCAAGTATACCACAATGAATATGCAATAAAGAAATAAAACTGCTCTAGGTACAGCACTCAATTTATTTTTTATTAATTATAAAGATTTTCTGGGTAAGGAAACTAAAGAAAGAAAACGGTATTTACTAGTTCTCAGAAAGTAGAATTTATACAAGAAAACAGTAATAAAGGATCTCAAATACTGAGAGAGTCAAAGTCATTTGTGTATGTAAAGTGGAGGATGGACTTCTGGCTAAATAAAGAGCACTAAAAACACCAAAGTATGAATAGTGCTATCCTAAGTGTTCCACACCTAAGACCAATTTCAAGACCCCCTGTTTTCTGATTTCTGTTTTCTGGTGAGACCATGATTGTCAATAGGGCAGTAAGCTGAGTAAATCTGGGGCAATGAGTAACATTTATTCTGGAATTAGAATGAAGATCTATGGGGAAGAGTGATTTCCATTGTACTCAGGTGTACTTGACTTGGGATAATAGATAGTATGTAGATAGTAGATATCATATTTGATTAGAGGTGAAAGGATACATCGTGATTGCAGGATTAGCTCAGTAAAATAAGCCCACAGTTTATTCAAGGTATTTAGGCACAATCACTGTAATTTTCTGGGAATAAATCCTATGCAGTGTTAGAAAAATATTCTATGAAATGTACTGCATAACATTAAGGTGTTGATTACTTTTCTTGAATGATTAAAACAAGGCAAAGATTAAAAATGTATAATATTTTAATAAGCAAGCTACACTCACACTGCATATGTTAACATTTGTGTAAGGATGCAGGGGATAAACTTATCTTCAAGTGTAAGGGGTTATATTAGCTAATCACAAAGTCAAGAGTTAGTTTAGACATTTTTTGACACTTAAATTATTAACCTCTGAAAAATGTAAGATGCTGATCTAGATACAGTATACTTACTCTGGACTGCAATTTAATTTCCTAAGATCAGAATTCAAGTTAGGCACAGGTGCTGGAACTGAAGATACAGGCAAAATATTTCTATCTTGTGTAAGGTTTACTGGTCTCAAGCTTTCTGGATGCTGAGAATGTTGTAGACTTAACCCTCCTAAGGAAGAGGACAGCTGGTTCACACTTGGATATTGCTGAAAAAAGTAAGAGCATTGCAAACAGTAAACACACAATGACATTTAAATAACAACGTCAAATCTTCTCGTAATCCCAGTTCTTCCAGATATGTATTAGAAGAAACAGCTACAGCAGAGGTTAGTAAAAAAACCCAAATAATTGTATGGTAGAAATTTAAAAATGCTAAGGTAAATGTGACATACCTTCCAAATATGTATAACTGGACAAAAATAAAATTCATTCTAGAAATTAACACTGGAAGTCACACATAATCCTTCAATCCAGGCATATGAAACTAGTTACTATAAAGGCTGCTACAATGTAAATTTTCCAAGTTACAGAAACTGTTTTTATATACATACATACATACATACATGTACACACACATTTTTTTTTTTAATTACAACTAAGCAAAAACCCCGTAGAGTAGAAAAGGTTAGGTTGGAAGGCATCTCTGTGGTCTAGTCATCCAAGGCCCTGCCCAAGCAAGGCTAACTTCAAAGTTAAATTATGTTGCTCCATAGCCTTTTCCATCTGACTTTGAAAATAACTAAGGATTGAGGATTTTACAGCACAATCATTTGGAAGACACTTTTTCCATGGAATTACTTAATAAAGTAACTTTTAAATTAAAAGTACAAACCTGTGGATAGTGCTGAAAACCAGGATGGTGTCCTGGATTACTGGGCTGAACAGGGGTAGGTGGTGCTGCATTTTGATAGCCAGGTTGCAGTGTTGGATATCCATAACCAAAGGGCTTAGAAGCTTTTGATGTTTGGGGGACTGATGGAGGAGGAACTGGGCTACTGGTCATAGAGTGTGTCTCTGCAAAGACATAAGAAATCCCAGAAATATTGAACATGCTTACTATTTCTATTTCTTTCTTAGTTTAATTGTAAACTCCTAAATGCTTAACAAACAACATTTCCTCCATGTATAAGCTTTCATGTTATCCATCAAGTTGCGTACCTTCACTGACTAAATAAATTAGCATGGAAGATAACCACAGTTATGCTGATAAAGGAGATATACATGGGAAGACAACTATAGACTTGTACAGCTAGTAACAAAAACCTATTTAACAAGAAAAAAACAAACTTAAAAAAACAGTATTTAACATGAACAAAAAACTGAAATAAAACCCCTTTAGAATCACACTTTATTCCAAGTTTTACGATTGATATAAATCACAGAAGAGACCATCCATGCTTTAATTTCCCCTCTAGTACATATAAATACTTCTAAACCACAAAGCTAAGGCAACAGGACTGTTCTCTAAACGTAGACAATTTTTCTTGAAGTGAAGCAAATCCCTCCTGTACAATCCTGCAGCAAGCCTACACTGACCTGCCTCTTTCCTACCTGCTCTCAATGTGACAGTTCTACAGATTTCAAGACTGAGGTAGTCTGCTTGTAGGTCCATTGAGAACAACTTCAGTGGTGTGTCAACTATTCAGTGGCGTGTCACCTTGAGTACTGCATGCAATTTTGGGCACCACGATATAAAAAGGACATCAACTACTGGAAAGTGTCCAAAGGAGAACCATGAAGGGTCTGGATGGGACAATTTATGAGGAGCGGCTGAAGGCACTTGGATTATTCAGCTTGGAGCAGAGGGGGCAGAGGGGTGAGAGATGGGACAGGTACGGATCTCTTCACTCCTGTGACCAATGACAGGACTCGGGAAATGGCAGGAAGCTGAATCAGGGGAGGTTTAGATTGAATATCAGGAAAAGGATACTCAGCCACTCAGGGGGTGGCTTAGCACTGGAACAAGCTCCCCAGGGAAGAGGTCACAGCACCAAGCCTGCCTGAGTTCAAGAAGCATTTGGATGATGCTCCCAGGCACATGTGAATCTTGGGGTGCCCTACACAGGGACAGGAGTTGGACTCCATGATCCTGACGGGTCCCTTCTGACTCAGCATATTCTATGATTCTACAATTCTACTATCAGTTACTAATGTCAACACAGTAAGTCACAGAGTATGGCCTAGACAAAGATGCCTGCTTTCACACAGAGCATACTTTCAGCAATATCCTCAATATCACAATGAAACCTATGACTTACGATACAGGTAAGTTCTATTAAACAGGTACTCCAACTTTAGTGTTAAAACTGTGAAAAGTGATTAAAAAAGCAAGGTGTGTTCTCTCTGATGAACTCCCCCAGCTCTTTTATAGGCATTTCCTTTTACCTATGTGTTAATTAACAAGAAATTACAACAGAAGTAGAAAAAAAAATCATAGCCAGTAAATATTTAAGTCTTTAAATAAACAATTAAGAATTAACATGTGATAAACAGCTTACCTGGATAGCCACCTCCTTCCAGAGCATCATAATTGTTCAGAACAGGAGAGGCACTACTTGTAGTTGAGGAACTATCAATTGCTGCGGAGGAAAATAATTTAGAGTTAGATGCTTCAGAAATGGCAAATTTTTGAGAACTAGGAGACTGAGAATTTTTTCTAAAACTGTTGTTAAGAAACATCCTGGGGAAAAAAAAAACCAAACTATTTCAGCCCTAAGACCTGAAAGCTACTCCTATTGCAAAGAGGAGGGGGAGGAAGAGATGAACAATCAACATAGTAACAAACAAACAAGCACACACCCAACAAATAGCAAGAAAGAAAGCAATGGGAAAAGGACAAAAACAATGAAAAAAGTTTCCTGAAATAAAAAACATTTTTCTATTAAACTAGAAGTTCTTTCTAGACTACACCAAATGAAGCAATTTATAACATTTTAAAAGCAGCCTCTATCAGAAATGGCAAATTTTTGAGAACTAGAGACTGAGAATTTTTTCTAAAAACTGTGTTAAGAAACATCCTGGGGAAAAAAAAAACCAAACTATTTCAGCCCTAAGACCTGAAAGCTACTCCTATTGCAAAGAGGAGGGGGAGGAAGAGATGAACAATCAACATAGTAACAAACAAACAAGCACACACCCAACAAATAGCAAGAAAGAAAGCAATGGGAAAAGGACAAAAACAATGAAAAAAGTTTCCTGAAATAAAAAACATTTTTCTATTAAACTAGAAGTTCTTTCTAGACTACACCAAATGAAGCAATTTATAACATTTTAAAAGCAGCCTCTATCATGACTGCCTCCACAACTGCAAACAACCAAAGGTTCCTATTGTCTTTGGAGCCCTTATGCACTATCCCCTACCTTTAAGCAAAACTGAGAAGTATTTCATTCTTTACTCCTTTCTGTGTTGCTGTAATTCAGAACTTGTTTTGTTTTTAATCTAAAGCGTCTGTTTTCCACTGAACACCTACAAGAGGTCTCAGCTTCAATCAGAATGATTGAATAACTAACTACTTTTGGTAAAGACAAAAGTAACTATGTAAAAGTAAGTTAACTAGCCAAAAGTAAAAAAAACACAGGGGCACATCCATAGTTGTTATTACGAAAGAGATTCCTAATACTTAACTTTTAATTCACTCTATGCAGATATCTTGAATATCTTACTGCAAAGCATTACAAACAAAAATATATTTTAAAAAATGTCTTCCAGTGGCATTTCATACACATTTTCAAAGAAAAAGGGCCAAGGAGATGAAATTTATCTGCTCCTTAAAACACCCCAAGCCATGAAGTACAACAGAGGAGAGAAAGTTTAAGAGATCAAAACAATTATCTATAAAACTTTAGTGGCAGAAGATGCTCAAAAGAGATTCAATGATGCTGTTCTACTCAGAAGGATCAACTGTGACCACAGGTCCCAGTATAAAGCTGAATGTATTTCAAGAGAGAATTTTAGAGATTTGGTCCTCCCTCAACTGAGATTTACAAATACAGAGACTCTCGCATGTGGAAATGTAACATCACTGAAATTTGGGACACATTAATACCACAACAACACTGTAACTGTATAAATTATTTTTTAGCATTTTGACATTAAAGCATTCAGCTAAGAAACAGAAAAACTACTCAAAAAAAGTAACACTAACAATAGATTTTATTTTAAATAATAACACTGGGAAACTCACATAACGTTGTTTTACACCATAAATTTCCCTTTGTTTTTCTGAGGCTTACGAAAGAACATTGACTACAAGATATCTTTTCCTACCGAATCTGACCTTTCTATCCTATAAACTGAAGGGAACAGGCTTAATTTTGTTCCTTGAGCAGAAACACAGCTTTTCAAGGTTTGCTAAGTCCCACTACAGAAAACACAAAACACACTTTTATTAGGTCAACACGATCACAATGTAAGAATTTTCAGTAAGATTTTTCTTGTCTGACCAGAAGTTAGTCCTGCATTTCAAAATAATATTAAGACAATACACACATGTTGGTGTAAGACATGAGTTAAACCTTTCTGACTTAACCACTAGGTCAGTCGTACAGTTTCCCACAGTAAATTGCACTCATAAATTATATCCACCTATAATAGAACTCCCTATAAAAAGAGTTTGCTCTTTTCACTAGGAAGATACTTATGATACAATGAGTTGCAAAGAACTATTATATACTTCCCAAGCTCGGCTGGAAAAGGCAAGATAAACCAACTTGACAAATATATAAAAGAATATTTTAAAGGCATGTTGTAAGTAAAAATAATGCAGCTTAGTTGTACTACTACCAAAAATATTCTATGCATAATTTCTGACATGCAGAAACATTTTAGCCAGGAAGTATAATCTCAGATACTTTGAAACATAAAAAAGGTTTGCCAAATTTAATATAAGAAACATAGAATCCTATTACTGAGTATTCCATTTACTTAATGAAGACCTTTCACTTAAGGTCTTTGCTTCTAAGAAACTTTCAATTTTTTAAACATATTCTCAAGAACAGCATCCCAATGCCTACAAGAATTATGACGTGCCCTTTTCTACTCCCCCCAAAGGAAAACAAATACTTGACTCAAAAACAATGAGTTGTACAGTTTTCTGCAGACCAAAAGTAGCTTCAAACTCTAAGCTGGTCCCATGTCATGGAAGTCTTACATATTTTCAATCAATAAAAACCACAAGAACTTCCACAAAATTAAATAATAGTTTTCCTATGCTTAAATTAAGCTAAAACAGCTGTCAAAGCTTAGCTTAGCTTAATCAGCACCAGACCAAAGAACATTTTAGGAAGACACAAAAAAGTTTTATAAAGAAAAAAATATTACCAAACACCACTTAAATAAAATCTCTAAGCTTTTACAGTTAGGTAATTATTTTACCAGTAAAACTTCTGCTTTCAGAGTTTTCAATAACTCTTTAGTAACATACTTAAAAGACCTAATTGGTAAGAATGACAAAAAAATTAAGCAGCTACATAAACATAAGCAATCTGGTGTCCAACACCTATTTTTTATCAAATCCCTGGCACAGCCTGAGCTAGAAACCTGTCTACAGGATCTGTTTAGGATTTGAATCAGCTCCTGGTGACAGGAAATAAACCAGGATGCTTATTAATCAGACAGCCTATATATTGAACCCAGGTGCATAAGATAAATTAAAGTACTAGGATAGCTCAAAGGCTCGAGCTTTAGAGAAGTCCAAAACCTGAGAAAAAGATGGTAAGGCATATGCAAACTTTGCCTCTGATAGGGTTAGGGAACAAAGTAAAGAGATAAAGGTTGTAGTCGATAAAATTCTGATACATCCTTTGACAGAAACCTTGGAATGGGATTAGATGAAGATAATTATCTGCAGATAATCAGTAGGCAGCCTAGCAATAAAAAAAACCCAAAATGCTCTCCCTCTTCTAGCATACTCTTTAGAAAGCAGAGTTCAAACAGTAGCTGCATCACAACAGCCTACGCAAATTTTATATCCCAAAGTACAATTGTTTTCTAGCTAATGAAGTCTAATTACAGTCACAGCAGTAGCAAAAATTCTGGTATCTAAAATTAGGAAGTATCCTTAGATTTAAAAACAAGAGTTACACAATGGTTACTATGCATAATTTAATGCTAACACTCAAGGCTTTTGAAAGATCCAAGGTGTTATCACACAAAGGCTAAGGAAGTAAAGAAACTGAACCCAATAACCAGAAGTAACAAGAATTACACAGGATACATAAAATATCCTAGTAGTTGTGCTCCATTAGGAGTTAATAATATCCCTTATATGGATACTATTGCACCCTCCAAATCCTGCCCCTCTCTTGCTAGAACAATTACAAGTGTCTTCAGCTGAAAATTCCTTCCTCCTTGGAAAAAGAACAGCAGCTGCTTTCTCCTAAAGTTCTACAAATAATTCAATGTAACAGTTGAAACAGTATTATTCAAATTGGTGACCTGAACCCATCACTCTGTTCTTAGTTATGACCTGAAAGTCATTATTGTTTTGCATCATTCTTCACGCTATCATTAACAGCGCACTAAACTACTTTTCACAGAATCAGAATGGTTTGGGTTGGAAGAGACATTAAAGGTCACCTAGTTCCAATTCCCCTGCATGAGCAGGGACACCTCCCACTAGATCAGGTCGCTCAGGGCCCCATCCAAGCTTGTACTGAAGACCTCCAGGGAGGGGGCATCCACAACCTCCCTGGTCAACCTGTTCCAGCATCTCACCACCCTCACAGGAAAGAGCTTTTTCCTAATGTTCAATCTGAATCTCCCCCTCTTTAAGCTTTAGACTATTGTCCCTTGTCCTCTCACTATACATCTGTATAAAAAGCCCTACCCCAGCTTTCTTGTAGGCCCCCTTCAGATATTGTATAGTTGCTATAAGGTTACCACAGAGCCTCCTCTTCTCTATGCTGAACAACCCCAATTTCCTTAGCCTATCTTCATAGGGGAGGTGTCCAGCCCTCTGATCATCTTTGTGGCTGAATACTTTTACAGTATTCTAGTTTTATGATTTAATTATTTTAATAAAACTCAGAATTATATGGCACTGATTTTTTTCTGCCTAGTTACAATATGAATTACAAGTTTAAAGTAAAAGTTACAAAATTCTGCTATGCAAATTAATAGTCAAAGCCAACACACACACAAATGGGAGTAGTATATGAAAACAAAGTATGTACATGACTTCCATCTAAGAAAAAGGGTAAAATCCTAATGTTTAATCGCAAAAAGCTTGTTACACTTTTATCACTCACATATAGATTGTAAAGACTTGTCTTGAAGTTAGAAGAAAAAAAGTTACCATCCAAGGAACTAAGACAGTGACAAACATAAAAATCACAAAATGAGGCAATTCTGACAAAATACAGGCAGACTCCTTGCGACCAAGAAGATAACATTTCAACTGATCAGGACAAACTGCTTCTTAAAAAAAAAATAAGTAAGAAGGCAATCTTTTTAAGTTCCCTACAAATCAAGCAGGTTAAAACTGAATCTATGTGTCTGACCATACAGACATACTTTTGAAGGAGAAAAAAAGAAGCAGTATAGATTAATTTACTATCTTAAAAAGCACCAATTACCTTTCAATATTTACTACCTTAATTGTAAGGGTTCCCTATATGTAAAATGGAAAACAAGGTAAACACTGTTTAACGTAACAATACAAATGTAACTAGTTATTTAACATAAGCAATTATAAGTCCAAGTTCTAGATGTAGTTTTTTCAGTTAAGAGTTTAGAGCCTACTGCAAATCAAATGATTAAACATATGGGAGTCTTGCGAAGTGTGAATAATACTTTGTTATAGTTATGACCTGAAAGTCATTATTGTTTTGCATCATTCTTCACGCTATCATTAACAGCGCACTAAACTACTTTTCACAGAATCAGAATGGTTTGGGTTGGAAGAGACATTAAAGGTCACCTAGTTCCAATTCCCCTGCATGAGCAGGGACACCTCCCACTAGATCAGGTCGCTCAGGGCCCCATCCAAGCTTGTACTGAAGACCTCCAGGGAGGGGGCATCCACAACCTCCCTGGTCAACCTGTTCCAGCATCTCACCACCCTCACAGGAAAGAGCTTTTTCCTAATGTTCAATCTGAATCTCCCCCTCTTTAAGCTTTAGACTATTGTCCCTTGTCCTCTCACTATACATCTGTATAAAAAGCCCTACCCCAGCTTTCTTGTAGGCCCCCTTCAGATATTGTATAGTTGCTATAAGGTTACCACAGAGCCTCCTCTTCTCTATGCTGAACAACCCCAATTTCCTTAGCCTATCTTCATAGGGGAGGTGTCCAGCCCTCTGATCATCTTTGTGGCTGAATACTTTTACAGTATTCTAGTTTTATGATTTAATTATTTTAATAAAACTCAGAATTATATGGCACTGATTTTTTTCTGCCTAGTTACAATATGAATTACAAGTTTAAAGTAAAAGTTACAAAATTCTGCTATGCAAATTAATAGTCAAAGCCAACACACACACAAATGGGAGTAGTATATGAAAACAAAGTATGTACATGACTTCCATCTAAGAAAAAGGGTAAAATCCTAATGTTTAATCGCAAAAAGCTTTTTACACTTTTATCACTCACATATAGATTGTAAAGACTTGTCTTGAAGTTAGAAGAAAAAAAGTTACCATCCAAGGAACTAAGACAGTGACAAACATAAAAATCACAAAATGAGGCAATTCTGACAAAATACAGGCAGACTCCTTGCGACCAAGAAGATAACATTTCAACTGATCAGGACAAACTGCTTCTTAAAAAAAAAATAAGTAAGAAGGCAATCTTTTTAAGTTCCCTACAAATCAAGCAGGTTAAAACTGAATCTATGTGTCTGACCATACAGACATACTTTTGAAGGAGAAAAAAAGAAGCAGTACAGATTAATTTACTATCTTAAAAAGCACCAATTACCTTTCAATATTTACTACCTTAATTGTAAGGGTTCCCTATATGTAAAATGGAAAACAAGGTAAACACTGTTTAACGTAACAATACAAATGTAACTAGTTATTTAACATAAGCAATTATAAGTCCAAGTTCTAGATGTAGTTTTTTCAGTTAAGAGTTTAGAGCCTACTGCAAATCAAATGATTAAACATATGGGAGTCTTGCGAAGTGTGAATAATACTTTGTTAGAGACATAAAACCTCTGGCATTAATATGACAAATGAACAAGACTTTGCTGACCACTACTGAACGCCTTTTTGTTTACTACACTAATAAAAGCTGGGACATGTCTAGTTAACTTGATACATGATGAGTCTGAGTGACTGTTAGTCTTCAAGGAAAAAAGCTTCAGGGGGTGGACATATGGAACAAAACTCGAGTAGGAAGAGAACAAGATACTGGTGTAAAGCTAAAGCCAACCTGCTTCCTCATCCTCCTCATCCTCTTCCTCATCATCTGAACTTGATGACAAGGGAGCTGGTGCAGAGCTAGCTTGATTATTAACATATCCACCATACTGCATGCCTGTGAAGTGGAAAGCACAAACATAAGAGTCAGACAGACAGAAAGATGAGAAACAAGTCACAAATCATTGCATTAGAAGTGAGAAAAATTAGCCATCCTAGAGAAAAATCCCAACATGCCAAAGTTAAATATAAAACCCTAGACTATAGAATTAGAGTTCATATATGAACTATATGAGCAACACAGCAGAATCAGCTTTTAGTGGGCTAGTTTACCAAAGAGTATTAGTAGCACACAGAAATTAGCAGGAAATTTTATATATACGTGTGTAAGTGAATGCTTGTGTGCATCAGGAACTTAAAACACAGACTTTCTAGGTTTGTATTTAATATCAGTTGTCCACTGCAATACTTTTACAGGTTAACATATAGAAATAAACATGTTCCTTCCCAGATAAACTAAAATTGTGTTACAAAAACATTAGCATGAAACTTTTGCTTGGCACACCTGCTCCTTTTAGGACAGGAATAATTCAAGTTGAAATTCTGAACACTGTCAGAAATTAATAAAATATATTGCTGCTGTAACATGTGAGAGTACAAACATATACCTCAGCAACACAGACAGTGAAATTTACACTAGGTAAACGTGAAAACTTGGTTAGTCTTATTTTTAAACCAGTGTCTAAACTGAGGCTCACAGACCCATACTGAAGCACCTCAACACATTATCCACTTTTGAGATCTGGTGACAACTCAACAACTGTTACCACTGTCACCTCCAAACCACAATCTATAGCATCTTTTGGTAGTGGGTATTGGATATTTTTTTGTTTTGGTTTTTTTACAATATCAAAAGATATGTGAACAATACACACACACGGCACATACATATACCATTTTAAAAAAGTAAAGCATGCAGCAATGGTTTATAATTAATTTCCTACATTAATCATTATTGATGCAATTTCTGCACCTTCAACAAATCTGGAGTTTCTCTTATCACGGGGCAGGGCTAGCAAGGATTTTAAATATGCTTGTAGTCAGGCAGAGACATCCTAAACAAATAAAAGTGACGGCTGTTTCTCTCTTAGCAATCCAATGGATTGCTGTTACAAGAAAATATCCTTACTCTTCAAAAGTTTTCAAAATTTTTCCAGAATTTGGAGAGTTTGGGCTTTCTTCCCTGTAGCACCACCATGGCACCATTAGAATAGTGTCCTTATTTTAACACTATAAAGCACTAGAAAAGTGTTGTATGTTATGTATAATCTGAAACCATAACAGTAATTAATTATTTCATCACCCACAATGTAAATAAACTATATCAACCTTTGTTTTATTTAAACTACAGGCTAAAAAAGCTGTTAGTTTCATGGCTTTTTTAAAAGGGTTTAGCAAATGATTCCAAGAGGGCTACTTGAATTTCACTCCAAAAAAACAGAATCAAGGTGAAGAGGATCTATTCTAACAGCAGTAGTAAAAAGACAGAGCAAAACTACATCACAAAATCCTTGAGAAGCTGAACTCTGCAAGAAGAGACTGACACTATTTCACTTTATCTAGTGCATTAATAGTCCTACAATTCCAATCAAGTTTCTCCACAAGCAGTTACAACAATGAAGGGAAAAATCAACCCAAGTGCAAACAAGAAGGTACAATAATGCTTCAGTTTCTCTACAGCGCTAAAACACAAGACTAACTCAAGTGATTCATCATCCCATCTTTTATGATGGCTACTGCATGCACTTGCTAAGGAGGATACAAGAAAACTGCTCTCCGTGCAAAACCACACTGCATCCAAGGGAACTCTGTCTCTTCTCAGGCCTGGGAGAGCTAATGAGGAATAAGACAGAACTGCATTATCATGGAGGATAAAAAATTTAAAATAGTTAACATGCAAGTAAAAGGGAAAAAGGTCAGGATGACAAGAAGAGACACATTGTAACAAAGAAAGCCAAAGTAAAAGATGATGGACACAGCATGAGAGTGCAAAGACAGACCTCTAACAAATACAAGTAAATCTACCTGGAAAGCGCATGTCAATACGAGAATTCCAAGCATGGGCAGGTGAGAGAAAAATACTAAATTAGTAATTCTAATAATGCTACTTTAGAGTCTTTGGAATTTTTTTTGGAAAACAAAAACTTCTACTGCTAAAACTTCCCTTTTCCAGTCACTGGTTACATACATAAAAGATTCACGTGTTCAGAAACAATACAGAAAAAGAGATTAAAAAACAAGCTAGTGACACAGTAGTAACTGTGAACTATGTCACTATGAGTACTCTGGAGGCAGGACTGGTTAACTCTTAGTGGCCTTATGAGCTCGCTTAGATTTTTTATTTTCCTTGCTGGCAGTACAACAAAACTCTGATGGAGAAGCCTCCAGTTCTGGTTCACTGCACAGCAATGCCACCAGTAGGACAGTACAAGGAAGAAAGCAACTGTAGGGCAGAAATGGGTGGTTGAAAACTGCAGTGCCACCATATGCGTAATCATTACTTCTGTTGTGACAACTCAGTTTTGCTCCATATCTTTTGCAGAGCTGCTAATAACATTAAAGTCTCCTACTCTTACAACAGCAAATGCTTACTTTGAAATATTTATCTTGAGTGAGATCACTTCATAGGTCTGTCTTAAACCTGCAACCATGTAATTTAAATAGTTACAAATTTCTTGGAGTGGAAATTTCTAAACCTTGCTACCAGTGGATCTGCAATATAATAATACTGCATTCTAATGCTTTATCCCACTGTATTTTACAGATACTGATCAATGTAGGTGGGAGGACACAAAAGGATAAACTGGGATAAGAACATATTTGCCTATTAAATAAATGAACTAATTAGGTATTTTAAATACAATCAGCTATACCATGAAAGACTTCAAAACATAAAGCACACATTTTATGTGGCTTAAGTTTTGGAATGGAGGCCACATCAAAAATGAAAATGAAACAACCATGTGCAAAAATATGCTATATTCTGAATTTCTTTAAATGGTTCTCTACCCATAACCTTCTCATATTTGATGAATTTACTATGGCATTAAGATCTTAATATTACAAACAGTAGCTCTTACAAAATAAGTCCTCCATTCTTAAACTCTTTGCTTTAAATGAACTTAATTTACTCATTAGGTTCTCTCATTAACACAAAATCTAAGGAAGTCTACAAAAAAATTCCAGACGGGACAAACATTCAAAGGTTCACCTCTAAGACACCTTTTTCAAGTAAACTAGTTCACTTGCATTACATTTGTTATGGATATTTATGTAAGATTTATATAAGATTAAATATACTTTAATACATCGTAAGTCTATTGTCTTATTAGAACTTAGCCAAGAAAACAATTAAAGGTATTTTGATTCTGTATAGAGATGCCCACACAGGAGCTTAAAACATCAAAATCCACTTTACAAATCAATCCAAACTGATTTTCCAAAATGCTTTCATGTAGACCACACTACTGTATAATAAGAAGAAAATTCAGTCCATTTAATCTCTGCATGAGAAATACACCTGGAATTCTAAAAAGTGAGACAAATATTCAGTAGATGAGTTCTATTTTTTCAGCAGGTTAATTCCTGCAAATAAAGCTACCAAATGTAATTGTTAATAAAAAGGTATTGGAAGACTACAGTATGTACTTCAGATTCCTCAAATGAAATTGAAGGAAAGAGTTTGAAGTTTTCTAATGCTCATAAAATTATCATCTAAACACAGAAATATACATGCACGATGACATGTACATGGATTTGTCACTGATTATATTGATATCAATGCAAACTCCTGATGACTTATGTTTATATTCCTGACACAGGAACATTGGTTATCATTGCTGGTGTACCCATTCAGCTACATATTTGCATTAGTCTTCAGTTATACGGAAGCATTTTAATTTAGTGAAGAGTTTAGCAGCGACCACAGTGATTTGTATTTAACATACAACATTATGCTCACACACTCCACAGGAATCACTGCAGGAACATAAATACTGTACATCGAAGCAAGCACAGTTAAACAGCTAAAATCCTTTTTCTCATTAGGAATGCAGTTACGCAATTTATCTGGAAGATGAAGGAATAGTTTTTCCTAGCAAGGACATCTAAATTAAAATTTTTACCCAGTACCAAAATCAACTATAAAACTGTGCAAAACCCAAGCATAGTTCCAAAAATTATGTCCCTTAAAATGATAGTGTACATAGGCCTTTACAGCAATGAAGAATTATCTTTTTGCCTGTAAGATATAGAGAGCTGATTCACAGACAAATTATTTCTTTACATGCATTCTCCACTGCACCAAAAAAAAGGAGGAAACTAAGGAAAGGGGAGAATTCAGACATCTGAAATTTAAGAATAAGAAACATGCTGCAACAGTCACACACCAGGCTTTTTAGAATTATTTTGAACACTAGACATATGACATTGTTCTGGAAAAAGTGAACGTCTACTTCCACCTTATATGTTCAATTACTTTTCCATAAGATTTTTTTTTTTAATTCTGAAATCACATAGAGAAAACACATTAAAAAAAAACAACAGTGCAGTAAATTACATTTGGAATAATAGATACAGAAACATGTACCAATCAAGAGGCAAGTCAAAACATCAGGGCAGAATAAGCAGGGCTGAAGGCTTAAGACCCTATTGATTCTTTGTCAAGAAGCTACCAACACCAGAAAAGGAAGAAGCTCATAAGAGAACTCTTCAGTTCCCCCACAAAAACTGCAGCAGCCTTCCATGGGAGCTTTCATCTAGGGAATACGAAAGCAATTCTAACAGTTTGAATTTAATACTCAAACTTCTCTGTTTCCCTGTGCTAGTAATGGTACATTGCTAGCTTGCACCTGATTTTCCAATACAGGCTGATTACAAAAGGTACTTTTAAGACCCTCTTCCAAGAAGTTTAAAATAGTGAGAAGATTTAGAATAATGGAGAAAAGTTTTCAGAGGAAGAGAAATGGAAGACTGCCAACGAGACAAAGATGACATGTGGCCAAAGGAAATCAAAAGAGACAAGATAAGAGAAGCTAGAACCAAGGTGGTACAAAACAAGGACATTACAGGAACCTGATGAAATGCAAGAGGTGTACTTCAGTCAGACAAATGCAGAAGAGCAGCAATAAAGCTTCCAGAATTCATATGCTCATGTGGGACAGGGCAGAACTCTGTACTGTAACTTCCCATTCCCTTTTAGTACCTTCCTGAAGGGCTGATTCTGGTGACTGTGTAACAGTGGGTGAAGATCGTGGCTGTGAAGAAAGGCTTGGAGCAGGTGTCTTTACTGATGAGTTCACAGCAGAGGAAGATAATGTTCCAGTGCCAGACTTGGTAAACGGAATGCTCTGGCTCACAGAGTGTGCAGGCTGTGAGGAATCAATGCCACCTGAAAACAACAGCAGAAAGCAGGA